ACATTTCAAGTTTTATTACATTATAGTCTGTTATGGTTTCTCTCTCTGAACTTTATACAATTAAAACTGGTAATGTAAGAACAACGCTTTAACAGAAATCTTTTTAAAATATTTAGAATTTGCTTTGGATAGACGGTACTGGTAAGCATAAGAGTTTGTTTTAGGAGGCGCATTTTAGATTCCATTTCTCACTGAGAAAAGCAAGCAAAGTGCACGCGCGGTTTCATTGGCTATAAAAATATATCACATCTCGTAGAGATATCACAAAGCGAAATGAAGAATTTCAAATAACTATCTTAACTTTTGTATATTGTATGCAGGCGTTTTCTACCTTTTCATTTTAACGTAGGATGTCTCAACATTTTTCGTTTATTCAGAGTCCGTGCAATTCTCGCATAACATCTGGTACAGATAGCCGTTAAGTTCATTTCATTCTAGCTGCATTTGTTCCTTTGTTGTACTCTGGGGATAACATCTGTTCTACCCGTGGAAGGTATTGCTGTAATATTGTAAGTTGTGCAAGAATTTCGACAACAGTTTCCTTCAATACTAGGCCAGATGATATCGAGTTTGTGGTCTTTTCTATGTTGAATGAAAATGACCAGTCACGTTGGTAGTGTTAGTAGCTATAGGTAAATCAGACATTTCCGGTTAAGTAAGAAACATTAGATTTAAAAATTACTACAATGAATCTCAGGTGAGTTGGCTGAATAGAAGACATCTTGAGGGAAGAAAGCCAGTTGATATAGGATCAAGAAAGCAAGTATACACACTACATTTTTGTCTTCGTAACAAACAAATATTACTTTCATTTTGTATTATATATCTTGTCTAGTCTGTTTATTTTTTTTTGCTTAAACTCAGTCAGTTTAGTTAAATTCAATATTATTTCGTGACTTATCCTGCCAGTCCTCAAGTTAATAAAATGTACCTACCTGGTACTCGTTGTAGAAATCAGTATTAACCTGAGAGGACCACACTTGTTCAAACTTTTACACCTAATTTCTTCGAATTCCTCATCAACTTTAATTCTTAAGGTGCTTGATGTTTGAAATGACCAGTTTTTGAAACAATCCTGTTAATAATGCTGAACATTACATCCATATTACGATTATAACGCCCTCTCTCACATTTCTCTTTTTAAAGTGAAATTACAAGCTTTCAAACTAGACAAGTATTATAATATGCAATAAAAATAACCGACATCAAGCCAATCAACAGTTTCCAGGAAGTGACTTCATCTACCCACGACCACTATTTTAATTGGGTATAATAATTTTAAAAATTAAATACAATCTAGCGTTATTTAAACTGTATAATATCTTGATGGTCCCTTGCAACCTCAACTAAACCACTAGGTGTAGGATGTTTAAGGTTATTTGTACTTGAATTATCCCAAGTACAGTCTTTGTAGTGTATGCAATGCTCGATGATCGTTAATAATAGGTTAAATTGCAAGACCTTGAGAGTCAGAAACTTGAGGTTTTGAATATTTTTATTCTCTGTGCTTTTATTTAATTGTTTGTTTTGAATTTTGCGCAAAGCTACACGAGACCTATCTGCGCTAGCCGTCCCTAATTTAGCAGTGTAAGGCTAGAGGTAAGGCAGCTAGTCATCACGACTCTCCGCCAACTCTTGGACTACTCTTTTACCAATGAAAAGTAGGATTGCGAGTTAAACACCCTAGCCACCAGGCTATACCAGATCTATATATTGTAAGAGTTACAGTAAAACCTCGACATTAAGGGCACCCTTCTGACTGCGTCCAAATGCCCTCTATAGCAAGGTTCCCTTAATGTCAAAAATGAGCCAGGCAACGTGGATTTCATATTAAGCGTACTGAATTTCTGAATTTTAAGCCCCTTCTCCTCCCATTTTGTTTGGTGTATGCATTTAAAGCCTATTTTTTGTTACATGTATGTAAGCTGTGTTTTTGTATATACCGCAAAAAACATTAAATAAATGGAATAAAGTGTTTACAACAAGAATTCCCCAGAGTAATAATATTGCACTTTGAATCTGTGAAAACGTTTACTGCAGCATATGGTTCAGAGACGATCCAATAAACCTAGCAGTATACCATACAGGCATACAAAGATACACGTGCACATGGTTATAAAATCCCATTTCCCTTTCAGCAAACTTATTAATCAACCAATAAAATACTCTTTAATCACGAATGCTTAAAGTTTAGTTATTTCTATTAAAACATTGTAGAATAAATAAGAAATACTTCGAAAAACAAAGATTTTGAGTACTTACAGTAACATGTAAACAACTTTCTAAAAGATCATGACATGCGCACTTTAACCTGCCCACAGTGGAAGGGTTAATTGGTTCATTGTGACTCAGTATTACTTATGTAAAAATTAGTGTTTAAAAGTATAACTACTAATTCAATCTGCAGCAGTCTCTAATTTTGAACTTCCGACACCACAAAGAAGACAATTACCCGCCAACAATTCTTGGACTAATCTTTACCAACCCATAGATAGATTGAGCGTCACATCATAATGCCACCACAGCTGAAAGGTAGAGCATGTATGGCGCCGGGTGTCGATCCCGCGATCAGCAAATTGGGAGTCGAGAACCCTAACCACCAGGACACCAGCTGTGTTGTGCAAATCACACAGATAGAACTAAAATTTTAGCTCCCAAATTTACCGCTAATTCACCAGGGGGGGGGAGCAATACAAATACACGAAAGACATTAAAATAAGTTACTAGGTCTATAACAAAAAAACAATCTCAATGGCCAACTTACGTCATAATAAACCAACAAAATTCAAACCAAAAAAATTAATAACCGATGCCAAGATTTAACACCTGATGTCTTTATTACTTGCAACACCTGTAAAACATCTACATCACGCAGTGATGAAAGTTAGAATACTACTTGTTTAATAACAGCTATTAAAATTATTGTTGGTTTTGTTTAAAACTACATATAACAGCTTGAAATAAGTCATTGACATTGGTTTAAATGTTATCCAGTTATTATTAGTATTTTGGCACTTGTGTATAAAGTTAAAATCATAAATAATATTCAACATTAAAATGATACACAATTAAAAACATTTTATTTAGGCCTATTTATGGCTTTCAAAAAGTTGACGACTCTACATGTTTCGATGTTGCAATGTCATCCTCGGGAGTGAATTACAAGACATTGCTAAAGTATTTATAACTTTTTAGTAGGTCATGTGACCTGTATGCTATTTTACATAAATTCACG